TTGATTGTATCATTGATTTTAGTTGATTTTATCATTGATTTTAGTTGCACTCTGTAGCACTTTGAGATTTTTGTTAATGAAAAGTGCGTTACAAATTAAATTAATTATTATTATTTTTATGTAGCTGCCTGTGCAGGTTCAAATTGGGCTGATGTGAATGTGGGCAACCTCCTCTGTGTGTGGTGAAAAGATGGCGCCAGTGTGTGTGGCTCGCCATCTATCACTGCCCATGGTTTGTTTCTATTGTGTTGAGCAGAACTTTGAATGTCAACTCTCTGTTGGTGTACAATTGCCAAACACCGCTAGATCTTCAACTTTATGCCAAAGGTCTTATGAAGTGGTAAACATAGCAGTCGGCTGGTGGAAGAAAAAGGGCTGCTCTGGGATGCTTGTGTACAACTTCTTTGGAATAGTATGGAGCGGTGCCTCCCATCATCTTTCTGTGTGCAAAACACAAACACACGGCTCCCTGGATACTTGGTTGCAACAACTCAAAACTCAGTGAGACTGCTACTAGAAATGTGTGTTCTCCCAGTATTAACTAGTCTGCAGCGGGCACAGCCCCGTGAAATACCACTTAAACTAGCACCAAGCTGAAAACAATGTATAATAATAAACCAACAACGTAAAAATCTTGTGAACTTGTGTGATTTTAAACTATAATGTTAGCAAACCCCTGTGTGTACCAGTGGAAGGTATCGAATGAGGAAGCAGTGGAAGAGCATCTACTGAAGAGACAACATAACAGAAATCAAGGAGAACATGCAGGCAAGCTTTAAAGGGAGAGATGAGAGGAAGGCAGGACACTCAGCCTTGTCTTTTTATTATGCAGCTGAACCAGGAGTTTGAGCACAGATTGCTGTTTTTAAGAGAAGGGCTTCTCTGCAGAACAAAAGTGTGTGTTTCTGGAGAATAGGTGTTTGTAGGGGACAAACACTGATTGTTTACTGTATCTGCTGCTCTTTAGCTAAATTACATCAGGTCTTTTTAAAACTGAAGGTTTGTAAGAAGCAGCGTTATATCTGCTGTCAAACACAAGAAGATCCTCTTTAGTTCTTGGTTGTAGCTGCACCTGACACAGGTGAGTCTGGTCTGGGTACAATGAAATGTGAAGGGCCAATGAAACCAAGTGTCACTGTGACCTGTTCGGTAATTTCATTGTTCAGATTTTTTTTACCTTTATTTATACATGTAGTCTCATTGATCTCCTGATGCATGCTCAATAATCCAGGTAGAGAAATCTAAAAAAGTTAAATCGGATCCTTTTTGAACCCATCCACTGGACCCGACAACTTTTTTAAATCAGAATCAGCTTTATTGTCATTGCACCGAAGCATAACAAAATTAGATTTCAGTACATCCCGTCCGAGAGAAACATAAACAACCAGACATGGGGAGACGGAGGTGACCGAGTCCGCCGGCCTCAAGAGGTGCAGCCCTTTTTTCAGATAAGGAACAAGAAACACGAGGGGGAGTGGAGGTGTAAAAAGAAAAAAAATCCTGCACTGTATCCTACATGGGACATAGTGTGAAGTTGCAAAAAGACAGCAACATACCGATGACATCAGAATACATTTATGCATGAGGAGGCCGACGAGGACAGTGAGTTGTCCGTGGATGCTGTCAGACAGTTCCATAGTCCTGATAAAGATGACACAGTGTCTGTCAGCCGGCTCAGCTCTGACACATCCAGATGTCCTCGGAAGGGAGCAATATAGTCTCACTGAGTCACGAGGACCCACCCTCAAAGAGAGAGGTGTATTGGGGAGCTATGTGAGCGCCCAGGTGTGATGAAGCTAAATGTTTTGGTGACGTGAAGCTCGTTAGGCTGTCCAAAAAAAAAATCTATAAATTAGCTGCAGCATTGTATAAGGTGCGTTGTTCAAAGCCTGTGAAAAAAGTAGCGGCTTATAGTCTGTAAATTACGGTGGCTTAAAAAGACCGTAAGCTGGAACTGATCTGAGTTCAGTTTGACTAAACATGACTTCATCTCAGTTTGTTTTCTCATCCTGAATTTAATGAAATTATTGTGTATAATCTTATTAAAATGTATTTCCACGCTGGTCAACTATGAGATCTTTAAGTTCTTATTAAAATGAATGAGTTTGTGTGTTTCAGGCTCATCCAGAGGAGCATCAGGGCTGCAGTGGAGCAGCACTTCTATGAGCTGAAGACCTCCATCAACCAGGATCTCAGCAGCTATGACAGCCGAAGGTAAGACCTGCTGATACGTGAAATGCAGAACAGAAAGTCGTCCGATTCCTGCAGTGAACGTGCGTTCAATGGTTTGGAATGAACTCCTTCTCCAAAGTGAACGTTGACAGACTGAAGGTTTGATGTGGAGAGAAGTGATGACTGTAAAGAAACCACATGTTGATCACCCGATGTAAAAACAAACAAGTGCTTCATATTTTAAAGGGTGAGTCCATCTGGGGCTGACGAGCCGGGTTGCCATGGAGACGTGGAGACGCAAACTGAACCTGAAGACAGTCCCTGCAATACAAAAAGGGAGTCCCCTCCTGAACGGACTGAGCAGGACTTGCAGCAGAGTCAGCCAAACCCACAGGTTGGGGCGCTCGCGCGCGCACACACACACGCACGCACACACGCACGCACACACACACTGTTGGTGTTGTCACTTGGGCCATGTTTCCACATCAAACCCACAGATACGACAGCAGAAGTGGGAACGCGTCCTCCAACTGAAAGTGAAATCTAAAGCTCCTTTTCCACCGCTCCTCTTCAGCCCGGTTCACCTCGACTCGGTTCAGTACACGTTGTGTTTCCATAGCCCCTTTCAGTACCAGTTACAGTGGGTGGGGTTCAAATTGACATCAAGCGCCTTACCAGCTGGTGGGGGTAAGACCATGGAAACAGGTTTCAGTATAGGGAGATAATTTATTTTCAAGTATCTGGTAAATGAAAAAGAATACAGATTATTAAAATGATTAAATTAAACACACACACACATGTAACCAGATTCTACAAAAAACATCTATATTTAAAATTTTATTATCCCTTTTCTTCATCATTTGATGTATTTGCACTCATGTCTACTTTTAATATTCAATTTAGATATGTGGTTTTGTTTCTTGTTCACAGATTTTTATATTTTTTTAAACTTTTGCTTCAAAGTTTAATTCTTGTTTAGTGATTTGTTCATCTGTGAGTTAGAATAAAGTTGAACTAAAGGCTGTGTCTCTTCTTTAAACATGTTGGAGGGAAATATTCCTGAGAGATCCAATAATGTCTTTAATAATGTATGATTTTTCAGTTGAGTTAACTTTAACAGATTATTTAAGTCATTAAAGTGAAAACAGGATTTCATGATAAAGCCGGCACCATTGATTTATTTATTATTTTAATCTTCACTGATAAAGAAAAACGTTTTTTTTTTTTATACATAAAATGTTTTTAAAAATCGTTTCCATCCTCCGTCCCAGTCCACCCATCTGCCGGGATCGGGGTTCGGCCTTAATGAGCAGGCGAGGCCGGGGTCTGGGCAACGGCCTTCTGCGAGTCAAGACTCCAGTATACTCGGGCGGACCTTTTTCTGTGCAGACTCAACGTGCACTGTGCGCAGACGGTTGAGACTTCGTACTCGAGTGTCCACCCTGTGACTGGCTGCAGTCAGCTCTGCAGGCAAGGGGCGTTTACCATCGGGACAAGTTGAGGTCATCGATGGGTCGTTTTCTGGCACGCCTACTGGGTTGATTGACAGGTCGCAAAAAATAAATAAACGAGAGCTGGCAGCCTCAGCCGCAGTGATGTTCTGTGTTTATATGTTGTTAATTAAAAGATCTAAAAAATAAAAAACAGGGAGCACTGGCCCTGCAGCCCACACATCAGGCCAGCCCACCAGAAAATCTCCAGACCCTCTTGCAGCAACGCTGGACCTGAGTTTAATTCTCTCGTGGCAAATTCCTTCATTTCTCACCATTTCATTCATGGCATCAAAGGAGGAGGAAGAGATCACTTGACTTTTGGCAAAAAAAAACAAAAGAAAAGAGCAGATCAGGGATGAAGAAGAATTTAATACATTGGTGTCTCATACAAAACAGTCCGTCGCCGGGCAGTTTATTGTGCGACACGTGGTCATATAACTTGAGCTGTGCACGGACATGCCCTGCAGTCATCCGCTTCGACTCTAATCTGCTTCGACTCTAATCTGCTTCGACTCTAATCTGCTTCGACTCTAATCCGGTATGAGCGGAGTATACCGGGGCCTTCAGCAGCTCAAAACTCCGGTGGAGAGGACCGGGGAGACTAGCAGAGTACCATCCAGCTCGCTCTGAATTTTGTCGTTGGCCACCAAGCATAAAAAAACGTTTGCACTTCAGCATTAGACCACAGTGTTGTCATTATTGTTTTAAAAATATTTAAAATAGATCCAGCCGCTGCTCCAAGTTCCGAGTAATTGCAAATAGCAGATCGGTGTTTTGAAAAGTTTCTGAAAGATCCAGTGACTCCTCCCCCTGACCTATCAGTGACCGACAATGTCCTGATGTCACGTTTAGGTGCCGGCTCGGCTCGCTTGGTCCCACCAGAGAAGCAGGGACCAAAAAAGGAGCCGGTTCCGTGAAAAAATGATAGTGGAAAAGCGCTCAAAACCATACTGAGCCGAACCGGACTGGAGAGGAGCGGTGGAAAAGTGGCTTAAGGATGCTGAAGTCTCACACCGCAGCTTTTCTTATAAAAACTCAAAGTACACGAACGTTTGTGTGGCGTTCTGCGTGTTGTCTCAACGTATCTATTGGTCCATGACAGAAGGTTCAATCTGATCGTTCTTCATCGCTCGCTGTGTTAGCTGCAGGTTTATGGGAAGAGATGGCAACAGTTTTTCTGCCCTGTTGAGTCTGTGTTCATGAATCTATTAGTAAAATATCTCATGAACCAGAACACAAATTCTAATTAAACTTTCAGAAATTAATGGTTGTGCATCTCAAACCCTTTATCTTCAGGAGTCCACTTGATTAAAGATGGCCAACATAGTCTAACTGACTGTAACTCCGTCCAGTTAACAATTCAGTTCAGTTTATTTCTATAGCACCAAGTCACAACAGAAGTCGTCTCAGGACACTGAACAGAAACATTCACATACATAAAAATCAGTTAGAAACTAAATTTATTTAATGAGCCAGCAAATTGCTTCAAGTTTTCACTTCGGCATAGTCTCCCATCCTAAGCGAGCACAGATGCAGCAGTGGAAAGGAAAAACTCCCTCATGAGGAAAAAAAAACGTCCAGCAGAACCAGGCTCAGGACAAGCAGTCATCTGCTTCGACCGGCCGGGCCCGAGAGGACAGGAAGGAGAGACGAACAAATAACGGCAGGTCCAGGACGGAGGCCATCAGGTTATTCTCTAGGAGGAAAGACAAAAAGACAGAATCACATTAAGAAAGAATAATTACAAATACAAACTATTTATTCATTTGTATGTACTTGTATGTATCATTCATTTGATGAAATGAGGTCAATTTGTCTCCACTAGTCTAAGGTTTTTGCAGCTAAGGAATAGATCAGAAAACCAAGCAGACAAACTATAGGATTTATCAAAAAGGAAAGTCTTAATCCCAGTCTTCAAACTGGACAATGTGTCAGCCTCATGGACAGAAACTGGAAGTTGGTTCCACAAGAGAGGAGCCTGAGAACTGAAAGATCTTCCTCTATTTTGTTTTTGGAAACTCTAGGAACCACAAGTAAACCTGCAGTCTGAGAGCAAAGTGCTCTGTTAGGAAAATATGGAACAATAAGATCTGTAATATAAAATGGAGCTAGGGTGTTGAGAGCTTTGTAGGTTAGAAGTAAGATTTTGAATTCAGTTCTGGATTTGACAGGGAGCCAATGGAGAGAAGCTAAAACTGGAGAGATATGATCTCTCCCAGTAACTCCAGTTAAGACTCTGGCAGCAGCATTTTGGATCAACTGAAGACGTTTTAAAGAAGTATTTGGACACCCAGATAATAAACCATTGCAATAGTCCAGTCTAGACGTGACAAATGCATGGAGCAGTTTTTCTGCATCATCTTTAGATCAGATGTTTCTAATGTTAGTGATATTACGCAGGTGGAAGAAGGAGGTTCTAGTAACGTTTTTAATGTGGGGGATAAAAGACATGTCCTGATCAAAAATAACACCAAGATTTTTAACATTAGAGCTGGAGGACAGATTAATGCATCTAAGGAGGGAGAAAGACTGAAACATTCATTCCTAAGGTGCTCAGGTCCAAAAACCAAAACCTCAGTCTTGTCTGTTCAACAGGAGAAAATTAAGGGTCAAACAGGTTTTTATGTCTTTAAGACATGCTTGTAGTCTAAGTAGCTGATTGGATTCATTGGGTTTCATGGACAAATATAACTGTGTGCCATCAACATAACAATGAAAATGTATCCCATGCTGTTTAGTAACTTTACCTATCCATCCATCCATTTTCTTCCGCTTATCTGGGGTCGGGTCGCGGGCGTAACAGCCTTAGTAGGGAGGCCCAGACTTCCCTCTCCCCAGCCACTTGGTCCAGCTCTTCCAGGGGAATCCCAAGGTGTTCCCAGGCCAGCCGAGAAACATAGTTCCTCCAGCGTGTCGTGGGTCTTCCTCTGGTTCTCTTCCTGGTGGGACGTGTCCGGAACACCTCACCAGGGAGGCGTCCAGGAGGCATCCTAAACAGATGCCCGAGCCACCTCAACTGGCTCCGCTCGATGTGGATAAGCAGCTGCTCTACTCTGAGTCCCTCCCAGATGATCGAGCTTCTCACCCTGTCTCTGAGAGTCCAGACACCCTGTGGAGAAAACTCGTTTCAGCCACTTGTATCCGTGATCTCGTTCTTTCAGTCACAATCCAAAGCTCATGACCATAGATGAGGGTAGGAACGTAGATCGACCGGTAAATCAAGAGCTTCGCATTTTGACTCAGCTCTTTTTTCATCACGACAGACCTGTACAGCTCCCGTTTAACTGCAGACGCCGCACCGATCCACCTATCAGTCTCTCGCTCCATTTTTCTTTCATTTGTGTACAAGACCCCAAGATACTTAAACTCCTTTACTTGGGGCAGGACCTCCTCCCTGACCTGGAGAAGACACTGTACCCTTTGCCAGCTCAAGACCATGGCCTGGGATTTGGAGGAACTAATCCTCATCACATCACACTCGGCTGCAAACCGCTCCAGCGAAAGCTGTAGATCATGACCTGATGAAGCCAATAGGACCACATCATCTGCAAAAAGCAGAGAAGCGATCCTAAGGCTACCAAAATGGATCCCCTCAACACCTTGGCTGCGCCTAGAAATTCTGTCCATAAAAGTTATGAACAGAATTGGTGACGAATGGCAACCTTGGCGGAGTCCAACTCTCACCGGGAATAAGCCTGACTTACTGCCGGCAATGCGGACCAAGCTCTGACACCGGTCATACAGGGACCTAACAGCCCGCACAAAGGGCCTGGTACCCCATACTCCCAGAGTACCCCCCACAGGGCTCCCCGAGGGACGCAGTCAAACGCCTTCTCCAAGTCCACAAGCACATGTAGACTGATTGGGCAAACTCCCACGCACCCTCCAGGACCCTGCTGAGGGTGTAGAGCTGATCCAGTGTTCCACGACCAGGACAAAAACCGCACTGCTCCTCCTGAATCCGAGGTTTGACTATCCGACGGACCCTCCTCTCCAGAACCCCTGACTAGACCTTACCAGGGAGGCTTAAGAGCGTGATCCCCCTGTAGTTGGAACACACTCTGTGGTCCCCATTTTTTGAATAGGGGGACCACCACCCCAGTCTGCCAATCCAGGGGAACTGCCCCCGATGTCCACGCAATATTGCAGAGTTGTGTAAACCAACACAACCCCACAACATCCAGAGCCTTAAAGAACTCAGAGCAAATCTCATCCACCCCTGGGGCCCTGCCACTGAGGAGCTTTTTAACCACCTCTGTGATCTCGGCACCAGAGATTGGAGAGCCCGACCCAAGGACCCCAGGCTCCGCTTCCTCAGTGGAAGACGTGCTGGTGGGATTGATGAGGTCTTCAAAGTACTCTGCCCACTGACCTACAACGTTCCGAGTAGAGGTCAGCAGCACACCATCTCCACTATAAACAGTATTGGTGGTGTACACCCCCACCCCCCGACGCAGGAAGGTGGACCAGAATCACCTCAAAGCCGTATGGAAGCCATGGTCTCTCCGAACTCCTCCCATGTCCGAGTTTTTGCCTCAGCAACCACCCAAGCTGCATGTCCCTTGCCCTTGCCGCATACCCATCAGCTGCTTCCAGGGTCCCACAGACCAAAATGGCCCATAGGACTCCTTCTTCAGCCTGACGGCATCCCTCACTGCCGGTGTCCATCAACAGGTTCGAGGGTTGTGGCGCGACAGGCACCAACAACCTTGCGGGCACAGTTCCGACAAGCCGCCTAGACCGTGGAGGCGCGAAACTTGGCCCACTCGGACTCATTGTACTCCACCTCCTCCGGAACGTGTTTGAAGCTCTCCCGGAGGTGAGAGTCAAGGCTCCGTCTCACAGGAGACTCTGTCAGATGTTTCCAGCAGACCTTCACAATACGTTTGGGCCTGCCAGGTCTGACCAGCATCCTCCCCCATCATCAGAGCCAACTCACCACCAGGTAGTGGTCAGTGGTTAGTGGACAGCTCCACCCCTCTCTTCACCCGAGTGTCCAAGACATGCGGCCGCAGATCAGATGAGACGACAACAAAGTCGATGGCCTAGGCCCTAGGGTGTCCTGGTGCCAAGAGCGCATATGGACACCGTTATGCTTGAACATGGTCTTTGTTATGGACAAGCCATGACGAGTACAGAAGTCCAATAACAGAACATCAGTCAGGTACAGATCAGGGGAGCTGTTCCTCCCAACTACACCCCTCCATGTCTCACTGACATTGCCCACATGAGCGTTGAAGTCCCCCAGCAGAACAAGGGAGTCCCCAGGAGGGGCACTCTCCAGTAACCCCTCCAAGGACTCTTAAAAGGGTGGATAATCTGGTAACTTTACCTACTGGAAGCATATATAAGGTAAAGAGTATTGGTCCAAACACTGAACCCTGAGGAACTCCATAACTAACTTTGGTGTATAAAGAAGATTCATTACTTACATTTACAAATTGGAATCTATCGGATAAATGTGATTTAAACCAATTTAGAGCCGTTCCTGTAATTCCAACATGAGAATATCATTAATAACTTTCACCAGTGCAGATTCAGTGCTGTGGTGAACTCTAAACCCTGACTGAAACTCTTCAAACGGATAAAATAAGTCCAGTCCGTTCACATATATCTGAGTTGTAGATAAAACCAGTTTTCATTTTTGGAATCACAGCAGCACATTTCACTATTAACCCAAACAGGAAGTCATCGGTGGTGGTTAAATGTCTCATATATCTACAAGGAAGCAAATATGCAGGATTTATGAGTGCACATCACAAACTGGTTTAGTAAAGCTTATTATCGCTGTGGAGTTCAAATGAACGATTAAAGCCTCAGAACATCCCTGTAGAAACCACCGGGAGCCTTCAGGTCGGCCCTGAAAAACGTGCACTTTATTCCAGTCTTGATGTTTCCCACTTTGTTCAGAACCGTAACACTGAAACACACAGGTGGTATTTTAAAGTATTTAAAGGTTTAAAACAGCTGTTTTCTAAGAAAACGTTTGTTTGTTGCTTTTTATGTCTTGTGTGATTCCTTGTGAATGTTCCTTTGTATTGAAACTGGCACAATTTCCTGCAAGATCAGTAAAGATTATCTTAAGATTGAGAGTTTTTACTTGATAGGTGAAACTAATTAGAGCGGCGTCTGAATCCAAACCTGTCTGATCACCAGCGCCCTGAGGGACTTCTCACCTGTCTCAGTTTATGATGGACCTGAAGAAACTGTTCCTGTCAGAGAAAGTGGACCTTCTGTCTACAGCACAGGTCTCAGCCTTCAACACGAGATGTGCTCATCATGTGTGTATTGGTTTTGTCTTCTCTCAGAGTTTCCTGGACCCCGGCGTCACCCTGGAGGACAGCTCAGGAATGGACCTGGATGCTGAGACCAAACTGAACGTTGCCAGGTGAGCCGTTCTTTTTCTTCTGGCTTCTGACCCACAGTAACTGTGGCCACTGCTTGCTCCATCACACTCCAAACATTTCTTATTCATCTGTAATATTTATGGCTAAACGTTTCCAACGTTTCTGAATTTAAATAGATTTGTGAGGTTTCTGGATGAGCCAGCATCAGCTGCAGCAGGTCTTTATACAGAGGCAGTGCTTTGGTGAACAGAACATTGGTCCCGGCTCGGTTTACTCCTCATCAGAACCACGTCTTCATTGAATCGTTTCACACACGCTGCAGCTTTGCTGTTTAACTGGTTTGAAGGTGCTGAGCGTGTCCCTCGTTTCTTTGGGCTGTGGACAGATTTGTGTAACTGGAGGGACTCTTGCTCTGCTGGTAGTCCACGTCTTCTTCTACACACCTGTACTCATTGACATTTAACACAGGGTGATCGGATTTACTGTATATCTAATTTTTCATTGATGCTGATTCTGTTTATGCTTTTGTTATTATTCTTATTTAACGCAAGGTCATCAGATCTGATTTAGTATTTCATTGTTTCTGACTGAGTTTATGCTTTTTGTTATTATTTCTTTGACTTTTGACACAACGTGACCTGAGTTAGTATTTCATTGTTTCTAATTATGTTTTTGGTTTTATATTTTTTATTCCATGTGCTGTAAATATATCTTGCTACTTTTTACTTGATGTTGTGATATTTTTGTTAAGCACTTTGGTAACAGTTTCTGTTTTAAATGTGCTCGTTAAATAAATCTGACACTCCAGTTTCCTCCCACAGACCAAAAACATGCATGTTAGGCTGATTGGTGACTCTAAATTGTCCCTAGGTGTGAGTGGGAGAGTGAATGGTTGTTTGTCTCGTTTGTCTCTATGTGTCCCTGTGATGGACTGGAGACCCGTCCAGGGTGTCCCCCGCCCCTCGCACAGTGATTGCTGGACATGGGCACCAGCGACCCCCATGACCCAAAATGGAAGAAGCGGGTAAAGATAATGGATGGATGGAAATAAATCTGACTTGACTTCTTCTCAGGAAGATGGTGGTTCATCACATGGAAGACATCTTGACATTAGTTCACACAAAGAGGCGTAACCGCCTGATGTACGACCACAGCAGAGCTGCGGCTCATGCAGGACGGTGTGTTTGATTCAGGTCTGGTTCTTGTCTTTCAGGCAGGACAATCAGGACACCATGGAGCAGACGCTCACCATAAACTGTGTACGTACGGGCGAAACGCCGCATCGACTTTTAATTTTTTATAACGGGCATTTTGGGAAAATATTTCTGCTGGTTTGGTTTATGGATTCCCCGTCTCTCCAGCTTCAGGACTCGGATCCATTCTGCTGTGATCACAACGCCAATGCCAGCCAGGCCAACAGGAAGCACCTGTCGCCATGCCAACCAAGCTCTGGCCACACCCCCCACCTCCAGCTTTTCCCTGACAGCCAGTGGGAAGGTATGTTGGATCTCTCCTCAGGCCCAGGTTAAAAAGCCAAAATTCATCATTTATCAGCTCATCTTATTTAAAATAATTATAAAAATCTCAAGAGTTGTTAAAAGTTGTTTTCTGACATTTGGTAGGGACTCTGCCAAATCTGATGGTATGACTTTTAGTTTAATACTTTTTTCAATTCAATTCAGTTTATTTATAAAGCATCAAATCACAACAAGTTGTCTCAGGGACTTTACAGGAACATTCACATAAAAGCCAGTTAGTAAAGTTCTCTATCTAAGGAATCCAGCAGACAAGTTGAATCTTGGCTTCGTTGCAGTCTCTCATCCTGAGCAAGCACAGTGGAGACAGTGGAAAGAAAAACTCCCTTTTAAAAGGAAGATGTTTTTTTTAAAGTCCTACAAATAAAAGTGTTCAAAGTTCATCCTTCTGAAGCTTTATGAGCTTCCATCTTTGATAACATTTAAATACGCCTGAGACGTTTTCAGACTTTCTGCTTCTGTATGTTTTCCTTTAAAAACATTATTTATGATTAAACCGTTGATTTCTGTGGAGTGTTTGGACAACTACAGATCTGTGGAAGGAGCGTGGCACTGCTCGTTGGACCTGCTGGTTCCTGACAGGATATGCAGCAGAATTAGGGCTGCAACTAACGATTATTTAAATAATTGATTAATTGGTCAGTTGGTTGCCTTTTTTTTCCAGATTAGTCGATGAATCGGCCAAAAAAAAGTTAATTTCCACCTCTTTATTCCAAAATAGAACATTTGACTGACAAAGAAAATCACACACTCAATCACACATTCTCTCCATGAGCTTTGTAAACTGTGTCCTTGAGGGAAGAGTGTAACCTGGATTAAAAGTGTGGATTATTGTAGTGAAGCCTTCGTCTTCAACCATCGACAGAGGCCTCATGTCAGTGATGATCATGTTCAGGATGTTTCAGTGAAGACAGCTGCTGCTGTGGTGTCCATGATGTCTGTCCATCACGAAGCTGTCATTGTTTGTTGTTGTTTTCTGGAATGACACAGTAAATATGTTTTATATTATAATTTACAGCAACTGAAGAAATGCCTTGTTTCACTAAAGCCCCCAGTATACTGCCGCGTACGTCCGTTCACGCAGAGGGTTCAGACTTCATACTGGAGCGTACACCCTGAGCAGCTGCAGAGCAGCTTCGCAGACGAGGGGCGTTAACATTTGGGACAAATTGAGGTCGCCGATTGGTCATTTGCTGACACGCCTACTGGATTGATTGACAGGTCAGGGGGAAAAAAAAACTAGCGCTGGCAGCCACAGCGGTGTTCTGTGTTTATATGTTGTTAATAAAATATCTAAAAAATAAAATAAATAAATAGAGCGCTGGTCCTGCAGTCCACACATCAGACCAGCCCACCAGGAAATCTCCAGACCCTCCCGCAGCCACGCTGGACCTGAGTTTAATTCGCTCGTGACAAATTCCTTCATTTCTCACCATTTCAGTCATGGCATCAACGGAGGAGGAAGAGATCACTGCCTCTTGGCAAAAAAACAAAAGAAAAGGCCAGATCAGAGATGAAGAAGAGAAATTTAATACATTGTTGTCACATACAAAACAGTCCGTCGCCGGGCAGTTTATTGTGCGACACCGTGTATGCGGTCGTAAAAATTGAGCTTTGCACAGACATGCCCTGGGGGTTAAGCTCGTACCTCTGCGTATGGACGTACGTAGCAGTATACTGGGGGCTTTACAGTGTTAAGTTAAAGCAAGTAAGTAGCCCAAACACACACACATAATATGTAGTGCTTGTACCACATAGCTAAAGAGTTAACCGATAGGATTGGTCGGGGCCCTGGGAACGTTATTGTTTTAGTTTGTACTCAGAAATCCTTCAGCGTTTAAGACTGGTTCGAGACAGGTAGATGTGGAGATCCCTTTAACATGGCACTGAGTAAAGTCAGTAGGCAGGTGATGTCACACAAACACCGAGATCCTTCCTGGCAGCAGCCTCAATGGTGGGAACCCAACGGCAGAATGGGGAACTTCTAATCGTCCAGCAGGTCCAAAGATTAGCTCCTGGTCCACTGTACACATTACCAGCTCTCAGTCCATATATATATTCCTTAGTAAACACACTGGCTTCTCATATGACGCCATTACGAGCTTAACTTGCCACTAATGTTTGGATTTACATTTCAGTATACAATAACCTAAGTTGCTGCATCGCACGAGCATGCTAAAATGCTAGTTACACTTAGCATGGTTTTCATTTACACACTGCATCATTCTGAAACAGCAGCATAAAAAAAAGGTGTTTACCTTTCATATGCTTCTTAAAGTCCGTTACGGTCCTCTGCATTAACTGTTGACATGGACAGCTTTACTCTGTTATTGTCACACGTCTGCATCGCTGTGCTCTCTGCGCTTGTCTGGTTTTCACACAGACCCACGTTTCATGCAGCGTACCATTAATCCCGCCCACTCCCATCTGATTGGGCAAAATAAAATGCTTAATCCAATACAAAACAAAACTGAACAAGATTGACACTTAGCACAACTCAAAGAGTAGGTTGTCTTCCATGTGGCACCATGTGAAACACTCCTCAAACAAACTTTTATGTAACATTCAAGGAACATAGTAAAGATGACAATTGCCTGTTTCAGTCTGCTTAAAATAGATTTTCTTGACCAAATATGAACTGTTTTTAAAACGATACATTTCTAAATGACAAATGAGTTTTTTATCTTTCATATTTATTCTACTTTTATCACTTAAATGATATTGCTATGAATTTAGTTTTAACACTTTAGTTGATAGTATATAGCACA